TATTTAAAAAAAAAAATATATATATATATATATATATGGTTGCTTGTTCGGAAAGTCTGACAAGCAGCTTCGTTTCCATACATTTATGGTTGCCGTTTTCTCCAATGCATTGACTGACACTCTATCTGCTCACAGTTAATATAGCCATCAGTGCAATAATAAAAGTGTTGTAATTTGTCAAACATTCCTCCCCCTCATTGGAGAAAAATCAGCATGACGGCGTGTGACGCTGTAATCCAAGAGATGATAGTAGAAGACTTAATAGAGGAGAGGGATGACCTTCTTTTATAAGTGTTTTTTTGTTTTACAATGCTTTTGTAATTTGTAATGTATTAATTATAACAGGCTATATATATAAATATATATACACGTAGGCCTACTAAGAGTATAGGCCTACATATGTTTCAAATATATATTTATTAGGCTAAATATGTGGCTTACAGCTCCCCCTTAAAGCTCTTGTCTTTTTCTCCTTTTCTATCTCTCCAATTCTATTGTGCTCACCGGTGATTGGAGATGAGTGGGTCCGTGCCCTCCCGCTTTATTGCAGTTTGCAGATTTTTGAAAAATAACTTGTTTTTGCTTTTCAAACTTTTTTTTTTTTTCAAATAAAATGGTGGGTTCAGTTTAATAAGTTGCAGGCTCATTTATTGGTAATAAATAGGCCTATTTTATAATAAATAATTGATTTATATTGGTCTTGTTTCGGGGCTTATTTTTGAAGCTGCGGTTGCTTATTTGTCTCACGAGAGTTGGCAACAGTGGATAGTGAGTATGAGACAAAAAGAGCAGGAGAGACGGAAGAGAACGCAAGCAGCGTCTTGAATATAACATCTAAACTTCTGTTAATTCTGAACAAGAACTGTTATATTGTAGCGGAACACTGGATGCACCAAAGGATCAACCTCGAATAAGGACAAACACCAGTAATGCCTTTTCTTGGGTGTTTACTGCAAGCATGAAATGGGACAGTGTTACAACAACCATCTGTTCTGGTTTCACAATCTCTCTTCAGAATGTTTCGCACAGACTCCTGTTACAGGTTGTTTTCTTTACAGTAACTGTAATTGAATAATTGTTCCACTCAATATAATGCATTACACCAAAGGCACATTTTTATATAGAATTAATATGATTTATGAACTCTGAAAATTAATAAAACAATAATAAAACAAAATGAACACAATAAGACCCTTCTCCGCATTTCACTTTGTGCAGCAAGGAATTAACCACTCGCATCATCAAAATGTAATGAAATGAAACTCAGATTAACATTAACAAGCACCATCATACTCATGAGAATGAACACAGGACATAAACTGATATTTCAGATGTTGTACCGTTCATGGAAGTACGACACAATCGCAGGTTTAAAGCGATACAGTTTATGCAAGTATTAAACATGTACAACCTCTAATTTTACACATAACAGGGTCAACAACGGTATTACCAAAATATTTTGTTCTGACTTCATTGTAACTTCGATTTAATATGCTCTAGGAACATGTTTGAGTTGTCCATTAACAGAGACACATACCTCTCTTCAGAATGTTTCACACAGACTGAAGAGTGCAGCACCAGGGGAATATACCATTGATCGAAGAGAGGGGTATACCACATCAGCAACACAAAAGAACATAACATTCTTCTAAACAAACACATGCAGTACAAGAAAGTAGTGTGATTATAATGTTCAATAAACACCTAGATTAAATGCGGTGTAAAAAAAAATCGCAATTTCCATTCTGCAATAATTTTATATATATTCCCAACCCCTCCCCCATAATGAAACGATGGATCATCCCTTACCCAGTCTTTCTGCACTTGGTTTTTCTTAACCAAAGTAACAAACAAAGTTTGATGAATTATAACACTTTCACACCATTACAATATGAAATTAATTCAAACTGGTTAGTACTGTAAGTGAAGACGCAGAGATCTTGCGAGATCTGTTAGTGTGTAATGGTCTGTTTCTGCAAGTCATTTGACTTGTTTTTTTGTTTTGTTTTTGAATCGTTTAAATTCAGGAAATACCTGTAAAATAATAGCATTTTTTCTGTTAAACGTTTAATGCAAATTTATGAAAATATTTTGCACTGTATTTAAATTAGGATATTTTACATGAATTGTTCCTTTGGCAACTATTACTACCAGTAATTTGACATGTATTTATTTATTTATTTATATAATTTTGTGAGCAATGGTGTCATCTGTCCATTTACACCATCTGGTGGTGATTTCACGAATTATTATCGCCATTTTTTTTTGTAAATTTACATACATATCTAGGTAATTTAAGAAAACAGAAAAATACTCTATAAATAATTATTTTTTTGTGTGTGTCATTAATGATATAATATTTAAAATAACAGCCAAATGATTAATTTTACAGACATAGTAATTTTACAGTTCTGTGTACAATTTATATTTATTTACATACGTGTATTATGTCATCATACCTCAAAATCTAATATGCATGACTCAAGTTTTGTTTGACGTTGCAGGTTGTTCTGTATCCAAATGCATTTTGTCAAGTGAAGTGAAATTAAACTGATATCTTATGATAAGGGAGTAGGGTGCAGATTAAAGGGACAGCTCACCCAAAAATTAAAATTAGCTGTTAATTTACTCATCCTCTGATCATCCATGATGTAGGTGATTATTTATTTTTTTCTTGAGTAGAGAGTAAATAATATTTTAGCTGAAACCGTGGTCATTGGTGGCTTTTGAAACCCTGGACAGTATTCATTAAACAGACTGCAATCAATGCATGTCTTCTGTCAAAACTGGAAGACAGTGGCACAAACAGGTATTACGGAATAAAACATTTATTATTATTGTCATTAAAGTCAGATATGTGCAGGAAGGGCAGAACATATGATTTAGAATTGGTTTTGGATGTTGTTAACCTCAGGCATTAGCTATATGAGTACACTTCATATCACTTTCACTATAGCCTACCTCCTCCTCAGTGTAAAGATCCAAATTATTTTTTGATTCAGAAAACTGCAATACAACATGCAATGCTGTAGTAATTTATTAATGTAGAAAGCAAAGATAAACAAAGTATGGGAGTGTTTATGGTGTAAATACAAAACCCCCTGGAGGAAGGATAAAGGTGCATAAGTAAAATAAAAAACAATCAGAAAACAGTAGTGTGATTCACGTTGCTTATAGGATCAGTGGACTGTAGTGTAACATCATCTTGTTTCACTTAATCTGGCAATGAAATCAGAAGGAAAAAATTATTAAGGCAACAGAAACATATAGTACATATTGTAGCGTCTGCGTAGAATCGTGCATGATCTTTGGGTTTTATGGCTTAAGAGACCCTTTTAGCTTTTGACATTTGCATATAAATTACAGTCCTGGTCACAGACTTTACACTTATATGGGTGCTAAATGGCCAATGGTTCCCCCCCACTATCAAGGAGATGCTAAACAGTTTCACCACTCTTGTCTTCCCATTGAATTTCAAACACATTCCAAAGATACGTAAATGACCCCCGGGGCCAGGCAGCAATGGGCCTGGCTGACCAGCAACCCACACACACACACATAAAGACATTTCTTTATTTAGACTATAATTAATCCAGGTCAACAAGAGGCAACAAGTATTTCCTCACAGTCGTGTGCCAGTTCACAAAGTGGGTAGAATGCCTCCCAGCACCTAATGAAACTGCTCAAACTACAGCATACCTCCTGATGAATCACATCTTCACTAGGTTCGGGCTGCCGCTGAGAGTCAACTCAGACAGAGGCAATTGATAAATGATTATTTTGTCTGCTCGGTGGACGGACAGATCAGGTAATGGTAATATTGATTCTGCTACAGTTAATTCGAAGATCTAATCTTAATATTTATTATTAATCATAACCAGTTATAATTAGTCATAAATATTTCCCTTTTGAGCTGATTTACTACAATATATACAAATAAAAATTTCTACACACCACGTCTCTCTCCTTTTATCACATACCTGAATATACCTCAACTTCACAGTGTGAGGAATTCATTGCGTCCAGGCAGAAAAAGGTTGACGTATCGCCCCTTAATAGGCTTAAACTCAAATGTTTTAGTGTTTCCAAGTGGGATGGGTCCAACAGTTGCAGCCCTATGAAGACACACAGAAACAGAGAAAAAGAGAGGGGCGCATCAGATATACTTCTGTCAAAGGCAAGTTTGTATTAGAAGGATTTACAATTGCTTAGACTAAATGGAGCTATAGTTTCAAAAACTGTGTGTAAGCATAAAAAAAAAAAAAACTGTAAACGATTTATTCAAAGCAATTTTATTATATTTATAAATGTTCTAATCCTTTATGTAAGTATTAAGAGAGAGACAGCATATTACAGCTCATTATTGTTGCCGTTATTCTCCAGGCTGTTGCCGATACGGATCTGAATACCCTCGATCCTCTTTTCACAACAGTCTCCACGATTAGTGATGCTAACCCTGGTTACCCTGTAGACGTCCAACAAGTCAACTCTCCACCAGGGGTTCATGTCCCCGTTAGTCACGTTGCATGAGCCGAGCATGGAAATCGACTGCCTGTTGCCATCGACAGCATTTTGAGCAGCTGCTAATGTTGGATAAATGTATGTGGAAGACTGAACAGCTTTGCCTCCAAGAGCAAGATTCCTTGTTTAACAAAATAACCGACAGTTATTATTATTATTATCGATATGTATTGGTAGAGCAGCATATGCCGTGACACAGTTTAAGACCATTTTAAAGGGCAGCCTATTATGCAAAATCCACTGTAACATGGTGTTTGGACATAAATGTGTGTTATCAGTGTGTGAACATAACCACTCTACAATGATAAAATCCACCTGCTCCTTATTTTGAATCCCTATTAAACCAAATCAGTCTCATGATTATCTGAGCAGTGTGACGTCACATCGTTTAGGCCCCGCCCACGGCCGCTGACTGACAGTCCTGCATTACTGTAGTTTCTGCCCTCAGCAAGCTGTGTTTGGTTGTACGCGCTCGAGCAGCTGTAATGTCAACTTTCCCCTTGTCCAAATACCCGCACTTGCAATGCACTTGACCACTTATATGACGTATTTCCTGTATTTGGTCCAAGTGTTCAAATGAGCATGAAGACCACAACTGTGTGTAGAACTTTTCATTACCTGATAGGACACACTTATAGTGTTGTAAAAATGCAAGTGTTTACAGAGCTTTATTTTTATTTTCAATACTTTGCATTTTAAAATCAACATCTAAATGTCTGTTCAGTAGTCCCTATAACAGATGACACTATTTAATTTTGTGTTGCTTCTAATTAAGTGATAAAAAGCAGTTGCAAATGTTGTACAAAATAAATATCACCACTACTCATTTGCAACTCTTTGTTTTACTACCAAATTATATGTAATATCTAATTATTATTCATATTTAACATAAATTGGAAAGGTTTCTGTGACCTCTCGCGAGATCTCGGCAAAAAGTCTCACAATTTATGATGCATGATGGGATACACTAAGCCTCGAATACGTGTATATGTTTATACAAGTTTACAATGCTGTTGCAGATGAAATATAACACAGATAACATTAAATAAATACTTTTTTACCAGGTTAAATGTTGTTGATTATTATTAACTCGAACCCCTTTATCTAAACCTCTCTACTTAACAGTCTGTCGCGCACATCCATGTTTGTCGTTTTTTGACGCGTTTTATTCATGTTTGTAGTTCTCAACCGAATCTTTCGTCAAAGCGCAATGGATTGTGGGTAATATTAGCCATCAGAGTGTGCACGGATCCACACTTCAAAAATCTATCTGAAATAGTAGACTATCCAGGGACTTTTCGCATACTCTTTTCAACATACTATGCTTTGGGACACACTTATTTTAATCTTACATACTATTTAGGATGGATAGTATAAACATTGGGACGCAGGGCAAGTGTGGGTATTTGGACAAGGGTAATGGCCCTGTCCCAAAATGGCACACTTCACGTGCATTTGCGGTCTTGCGGACTTACAATGGCTGCCGCGTGAGCGTGTGCGTTAAGTCCACGAGACTCTTCAATTTAGCTTTCAGAAGGGTGCTCGCAAGCGCACCCCTTGCGCTCTCGATGCACACTTCTGCCGAGCCCGCACCAACAGTCAAAGCAGCATTACGTCATGAAAGTGTGGACTCAGGCCACGAGGGTTTAGGGTGCGATTTGGGACAGGGCCAATGTCTAGTGAGCAATGCTGGTGTTCTGTGTTTGGATGTAAGACTGAACATAAGAGTCTTCATTTTCTCGCAACATCTGAGCCACTGAGGACGCAGTGGATTACTTTTATTTTTGAAGCTAATGCACCTCAAAATCATGTCGTTATAGTGTTTAGCTAATGTTTTAACCGTATTTCTGTGCGTGTCATTTCAGCACATAGCGAACGTTATCATAGAATTTGTGTGTATGTGTCGCAATATTACATCTTATAAAAAGAGCATAATAGGTGCCCTTTAAGTTTAAAAGTTAAAGAATATTTTCTTTGCACCTATTAATAACTCTGGGATTAGAAACTGACATGTATTATTATTATTATTATTATTATTGAGTTTACTGGCTGGTGGTTTTGCTGTTGTAAACACTACTGTTGCTGTTGTATAAAAAAACATATTCTGTCATATTTAAAATATAAATCTATTCTAATCTAAATTTATTTATTTTTGAATTATAATAAAAACAGGACTGATAAGTATAATTTGGGGGATGAGAAAATCAGGAAAAGTCTGTATAAGTTTTACCAGTGCTGTGATAGCCTAATTATTTTTAAGGTACTCTACGTTGCGTTTTTTGAATAAATACTCTAATAATAGTAGTTCAAAGTATGAATAGTTTTTAGTCAAATAAACCATAAAACCAGACCCCTCGACGCCCGTGAAACAGGGCCAGTGTAAATACATCCATTTAAATTCAATGAAGCAGGATAGTCTATGCATGACCTGATGTTTTATTCGTATCCAAAATGTTGCTTACATGATGACCAATGGAGGCGTGTGAGAATTCGGGACCTAAAGATAACGGTCAAAGCAATGCAAAATCGCACAAAATGAATGGCGACTGTAGAAAACAAAAGCTGAATCCCAGACATTTTTGATGATTTAGAAATGTTTTTTTAGGTCCAAAAAGAGGACATGTCCAGGAAAAAGAGAATGTATGGTCACCCTAGTTAAACCAGATCGAGCATCATAAACATCGGAAGATGATAAAACATTTGAAACATTTCTTACAGCTCATTGTTGTTTCCGTTGTTCTCCAGCTTGTTACCAATACGAATCTGAACTCCTCTGAGTCGCAACAGTCTCCACGATTAGTGATGGCAAGAGAGTCAGCTCTCCACCATGGGTTAAACTCAGCTTTAGTGTGAGTGCATGAGCCCTTCCCGTAATTTGCATCTCTGTTTCCATCTACTGCACGTTCAGCAACTCTCTCAATGTGGAGTAAGTAGGACTGCACCGCTCTGGCATTAAGAACAATATTCCCTGTTCAATCAATAAAAAATAAGACAGCTTCAAAGCAATACAAACAAATCAATCAATCAATCAATCAATCAATCAATCAATCAATCAATCAATCAATCAATCAACCAACCAACCAACCAACCACAAGCTTCCAATTACCATATTTCAGCCTATAATTTTAATAATTTAATTTGATTGATATGTACTATGACGACTCACAATGGTTACAGATAAACATACCTTTCAAATTAGCAACACACAGCCCAGTAAAAAGTGTTAGTACCAAAATCACACTTATGGCCATCCTGATTTAAGACATAACAACACATCACATCATCCCAGCATATGAAGAAATCCTTTTCAATTTCTCATGCTCATTTACACAAAAGAAAAGGAATATAGCCCAGACTGAACACCTGATAAAACTGCAAAGTTTTTTAATGCAGTTAAAAAAACTTTTCAATTGCATCTGTTTTCATTCATGTTTTTTCACAAATTCAGTCTTGATTAATATAATTTAAGCTAGCTGCTCGCAATGATCAACAAACACTTGGTTTATTATTTATTGTTTTTCTGAAGTATGAACATGACATTTACACTGATATTAAGGTTTTGTGAAAGGAAAAATACAACAATAACTAAAGAAAAGTGGCACAACGTTGTTTCTTTTGGCAATGAGCTTTGTTACAAGTT